CAGGGTCAGTTTGTGTCTCTCTTTCCATCAGGGGGTCCGCTTCTCTACAGCGACGTGAAGTTTGTCTACAACTCGCAGCAGCTGAACGGCACCCAGCGAGTGCTGCTGGATAACGTCATCTCGGAGGAGCAGTGCCGAGAGCTTCAGCGGGTGGCCAGCGTGAGTAGGCGATGCCCTTGGGGGGACACCGCTGCCACCTGGGCTGAGTGCCTGGTGCTCTCCCCAGCGTCTGGCTGGTGAGAGCTGAATGTGGGCTCAGCCCCTGGCGTGGCTCTGGGTTCATGCCTCGCTCCTGAGTGTTGCAGCTGATGCCAGGATGCCCGTGGAGAGCATTGAGATGCTTATCCCCATAACACACACGTAACTACAGCACAGGAGCTGCTGCTCCATCCTGGACTGTTCTTAGAAACATTCTGCAACACAGAGTTCATGCAGAAATAGATCTTTGCCCCATGTTGTAGAGAACCCCAAAGGATGTTCCTCAGCAACTGAGTCTGGGGAGGGACTGAGGGTGCTTGAACATCCCCAGTCAGGAGGTGGGCGGCTGTTTTCCAGCATCTCAGAATGGACCGTGTTCGTGGAGAGCTGCAGCATCTTCCCACCCCCATACACCTATCCTGGTGAATGCAGCCCTGGGGAATTTGGGGAAGAGAGTCCCAGGTGCTCCCATTCCAGCTCCCCTTCTCCTGGGGAACCAGTTCACCACTCACGCGTGTTTTTGTCTTTCAGGGGATCATGTTGGCTGGAGATGGTTACAGGGGCAAAACCTCCCCCCACACCCCAAACGAGAGATTTGAAGGAGCCACTGTTCTCAAAGCCCTCAAGGTGCGGCTCCCTCCCTCCTCCTAAGAGAGTCCCAGGTGCTCCCATTCCAGCTCCCCTTCTCCTGGGGAACCAGTTCACCACTCACGCGTGTTTTTGTCTTTCAGGGGATCATGTTGGCTGGAGATGGTTACAGGGGCAAAACCTCCCCCCACACCCCAAACGAGAGATTTGAAGGAGCCACTGTTCTCAAAGCCCTCAAGGTGCGGCTCCCTCCCTCCTCCTCCGCCCCTCCCATGGCATTCCTCCCAGCCGACACACTCCTCTCTCTCCCCTCGTCTTTGCCCAGTACGGCTACGAGGGTCGTGTCCCGCTGAAGAGTGCCCGGCTCTTCTACGACATCAGCGAGAAGGCTCGCAGGATCGTCGAGTCCTACTTCATGCTCAACTCCACGCTCTACTTCTCCTACACCCACCTGGTGTGCCGCACCGCCCTCTCCGGTGAGGGCTCGGGGGGCTGGCGGTGGGGCAGGGCTGGGGGGACAAGGGGGGATTATGAGTAGGGGACCCAAGCTGAGCAGAGCTTTGTTTTGCCTGATGCTTAAGCTGGTAGCCGAGGGCTGGGCAAAGTCACCATCTCCACAGCAGCAAAGAAGTTCATTTCTGGGGTGTCTCTTGTTTTTCATGTCTCCAACTCTTCCTCTTTTCTCCTCCCTCTTCTCTTGCCTCCTCACTGTCCTTTCTCCGTTCCACCCCCTCAGCTCTCCATCTCGCCTCCCTGCAGTCAGGAACGAGCAGAGCTGTGCAGATCTGAGTCCTCAGGCGTTGTCTTTTCTCCCCAGCCTTTCCTTTCCTCCTCTCACCTGTGAACACCACCTGGGGTGGGGTTGGGGAAGGCTCTTTCCAGTGATGCACCCCACAGAGCATGGCATTTCCATCTCATCCACCCCTTCTCCTTCCCCTTCCTCCCCACGGTCCTGCCCTAGGCCAGCAGGAGAGGAGGAACGACCTGAGCCACCCCATCCACGCCGACAACTGCCTCCTGGACCCCGAGGCCAATGAATGCTGGAAGGAGCCTCCTGCCTACACCTTTCGGGATTACAGGTAGGAAGGAAGGGGGGGCTGCTACTGGGGACCCTCCCCACTGGCTGTAAGCCCTAAAGCTGGTACATCCCAGCCCTGGCAGAAGCGAGATCCAGCAGGTAGCTTCTGATGGCAGCAAGTGTCATGGCTAAGCTTCAAGCCAGAGTTTAACTGTAATGGCTCTGAGATATTTTAGGGTTGGGAGATTCCAGCTATGGCCCACAGGGCTGTGTCTCTGTCAGGTGTTTTGGTGCAAAATCACTGGCCCAGGTTGCCCAGAGAAGCTGTGGCTGCCCCATCCCTGGAGGGGTTCAAGGCCAGGCTGGATGAGGCTTTGAGCAACCTGGGCTGGTGGGAGGTGTCCCTGCCCATGGCAGAGGGTGGAAATAGATGATCTCTAAGGTCCCTTCCAACCCAAACCACTCCATGATTCTATGAAAATGGGAGGGTGGGAGCTGGTGCGACCCAGGAGACGTGTTGAGAATTGTTCCCTAGCCAAGGAGAGATCTGCTGGTTCTCAGCTGTGGCTCCAAAGTGGGGGCAGTTTGGGTGGCCCTGGCCAGCCCCACAGCGGCACCTCCCCTGCCCAGCAGCCCCTAACCACATCTCGGTGGAGTGATGCAGGATCTGCCCCGGAGGTGGGGGTCAGCCCCCAGCCCTCTGTGCTGCTCCTCTCACAGGGGTCTTCCGCTTCCTCCCCCAGTGCCCTCCTGTACATGAACGCAGATTTTGAAGGAGGCGAGTTCATTTTCACCGAGATGGATGCCAAAACTGTCACAGTAAGTCGGTACTGTGAACCTAACACCATTCCTCATCACCCTGTGCTGGGGCTTGGGGCTTCCCCAGGCAGCCTGGGGCTCCTACCTTGCAAAGAGCCCCTACAAGGTCCTGGTGGCAGAGGTGCTCAGACCTTCTGTGCCCTGCCCGGAGGCTGCACTGAGCAGGAAACCTGCAGATCAGAGGGATGATTGAGAGTCGTCCCTGCCTGGAGGACTGCTGAGCTCCCACCCCATCTCATGGCCAAACACGAAGCAATGCCTCTGTACACATGCAGTGACCGGCCCAGAGCAGGTCACGGTGGTGGACATCAGTCCCTGAGAGGGATGGGGCTCAGGCACAAGTTCCCACCTCTGCATGGGGCAGTCTGGGACGCTGGGCACCCCCTCCATGGTTGGACGGAGCATCCGGGCACCATGCTGCAGCTCGGAAGTCCAGTAGATGCTGGGGGGTAGATCGCATCTACCTAAGGGCTGTGCCAGAGGGTTGATTTGGTTGGCACTTCTGCCACCAAATACCTATTGTGGACTCAGCAGAGAGAAGAGAGGCATTTCACAGCCCACGCCAGAGTTAGCCTGAGCCTCCGTGGAGCTGTGCAGGCTGGTCACCTGCAAGGACTCCGTGCCACCATCTCCTTTCTGCATGATGGCTCAAGGACCAAGCCTCCCACCTCCCTATTTACCCCACACATTTTTTACAGCCATGCCCAGAGCTCTGCCTGTCTTCCAGAGCAGCTCACTGGGTCCTGGGGCAATGCAAAGAGATGCCCAGTAAGATCCCAGGCACTGGACCGTGGCGAGCCCAGGCATGACTGGCACATGGACCATGCTGCTCTTGCCACCCTGATGTTGCCTGTTTTCTCGCAGGCTTCCATCAAGCCCAAGTGCGGGCGGATGATCAGCTTCTCGTCGGGCGGCGAGAACCCCCATGGGGTGAAGGCGGTTACCAAAGGCCAGCGGTGCGCTGTGGCTCTCTGGTTCACCTTGGACCCACTTTACAGAGAGCTGGTGAGTCCCTCCATCATGGTGTGAGGGGAGCTAGGGGGTACCCAGCATCCTGGAGGAACCTGGGACATCTTCATCTTCCCATCCCAGCACATCTCTTTTCCCCCATCACACCCACTGCAGCAGCATTGTCATCTGCTGCACCACTGGGACATGAGCCAGTGGCACTGGGACCAAAGAGTTTTCCCTGCCAGCCGTCACCCTGGGCAGACATCACCCTGGGGTGCGGGGCTGGGGTGCTGCGGGGTGCGGGGGGCTCTGCGCAGGGCTGGGCTGGGCTGTGCTGGCCATTTCTGACACCTAGTGGCAATAACCTGATGAACGGGGAAGTCTTCCCCAGCCATCCACAGCTCAGAGGCCAATGTTTTGCAGCTGCCAGGTCCTCCAAAGCAGTTTGGCAGCTTGAAGTCCATGGAGCTGGGCACCTGGATGCCTCAGGAGATCTGGGCTGTGGTGCCTTTCAACAGGCAACCTCCAAGCAAAAGGAAATGCAGGGAGAGAGCAAAATCCTTGCGCCCTTATCATGTGAAGCAGGTGGGCTGTGAGGTTTTGGGAGAAGCTTATTTTCAGACATGCACTTGAGTGTCCCTCTGCTTTTTGGCACTAGCTGGAATTCCTCCGTGCTTGATCCACGTATGGGAGGAGATCAGCTCTGCCCAGGGAGCTGGACCTCCGCATGGAGCAGAGAGGACAGGAGGAGGGTACGCTGTGGCAGTGCCTGCTATGAAGTGTGATAAGGGAACAGCAACGCATCAGCTCTGCCCCAGCCATTGCAGCCCCAGGAGGGAGGAGGGAATTTGGTACTGAGGTGCAAAGGGATTTGGTTAATTTTGCCCAGCAAATCCCCAGCTCGAGTCCCAGGCTGACCCCTTTCCTCTCAACTACGCTGCTGGTCCTTGGACGAACTGCTGGCTGTGGGTCATCCCAGCAGGCTGAGCTGTGCTGGATAGGCTGAGAGCAGGAACCGAAGCTCTGCTCAATTTCTTCCCTTCCTCTCTTGCAGGAGCGAATCCAGGCAGATGAAGTGATCGCAATGTTGGACCAGGAGCATCTAGGACCCAGCGAAATGAACATCAACCCAAAGGATGAGCTATGAACTAGGCCAAAGACTTTTTCTATTAAATATTTATTTAATATTGTTAATCTTATTAGAACCCTTCTATTTTTGTACAGAGCTGCTGTATAAATTAACAGGTTAATATGATGGTGGAGTTTAAGGAGTGCCTCTTCTGTGTTTAGCACAGCTCTTGCTGGGACCCCTCATCTCTGTGCCAGCATCTCCTGCTGCAACCGACTGCCTCTGGGATTCCCTGTCCTTCCCTAGCACTTCTCGGGACTTATTCAGGCCCACTGTACCCCCTTGGAGAACCCTTTTTTTTTTTCTTCCTCAGCCAGAAATAGCTGCTTCTCTCTAGTCTCTGCTAGAGAAATGTCTCAGGTGTGATAACAGACCAGTCCTGCCCCTACCAGGTGCTGGCTGAAGACCCAGGCAGTGCTGCCCTGGGAGAAACTGGAGCACAAGTCAGAGACATCTCAGAGCCTTCACCATTTTAAATACTCCTTTAAAAAAAAAAAAAAAAAGAAAAAAACAAAGCAAAACCCAGGTCCTGGCAAAATGCATATCTCTCCATGGCCATGCAAAGCTGGCATTTGGGCATTAATTCTGAGCAGAGCTTCCAGAAATCACCTGCTGGGCAAGGGCATGAGCGGTGCACAGACGAGAAGGGGTTTGATTTGCAGCTGACTCTGGTGAAATAGGGTCTGTCACTCATGTTCGGCCCCTGCTCTTGCTGATGGGCTGGGATGCATGAAAGAAACTGCTTCACGCCACATCCTTCGAGCTTGCAGCCCAGCACTGCTGCTGGCAAAACCTCAGGTTAGATGTCATCATTTCCAGGTCCATGTTGGAAAGCAGCTGAAAGGCTCCGGGATGTCACAGTGCTGTGGTGCTGGGTGATCGTGATGCAGCTTTGTAGCCCAGATGTCAGGGCTGCATCCTCCCATCAGTGCAGGAGCAGCGGATGTTCATGGTGTGGTAGCATCTCTTTCCTCAGAGTATTTCTGACCCAGTCTGAGGGTGTTGTGGAGAGAGCACATGATTATCACAAAAGATTTACAATGCCAGTAACAGCTGCTAAGCTGGTAAATCATCTCTCTGTCCCACCATGAAGTTAACTCCTGGGTGTGGAATCAGAGCAGCCCCCACCTCAGCCAGAATGAACACTGAAGTCACAGAGCTGCCCACATCCCAGACACAGGGATAGCTTTTATTTATTACAGCTGCTTCTGCTGCTAGAAAGCAGATCGTAAAAGGCAGCTTGGAGCCATCTTTACTGTTGAATTTACTGCAAAGCTGCTGTCTCTCCAGAAAGCACTGCAAGGCTCTTGGCTGGAGCTTGCATCCCTCAGCAGCTCTGCTCAGCTCCCTGCTGCACTGGCACTGCCTCGGTCCTTTTCTGCTCCCCTCTGCCAGCTTTGGCATTTCCAGGACTTAAAACCTGCAATAGGGAATTGTCTTTTCTCTTTGTCTGCTCCCCTCTGCCAGCTTTGGCATTTCCGGGACTTAAAACCTGCAATAGGGAATGGTCTTTTCTCTTTGCTCCTGCAGCTGGTGCCTACCCAAATCTTCCAGGCTCAGCAGCACCCTCTTCTCATCCAGCCCCTGGCTGCAAAGGCCATAGACAGGGATGGTCCTGCTGTAGACCCCCCCAAAAGCTGGTCCTGGGCAAGATAAAGGGAAACTCAGCGTGTCTGGAAAAACAAATGCCCAGACGGGGAAGGGGGCACCATTGCTGCCTAGAAAATGATGGAAGAGTCATTTGCTGTACATCCTCTAATGGAGAATCAGCAGAGGAGAGCTCGGCGTGTTTCTGAGCCCCAGCGTAGGTGGTCTGTTGGAGATACCTCCCTTCCTCATAGACTGTTGAAAAGATTCTTTGTGTTGGCTCCCCAGAGAAATGCCCGCAGGCTTAAATGCCTCCCCTGTAAATGCTTAACCCCCGTTTTTTAAAATAGCCAGAGGAAAAGCTGGCGGGAAGAAGGGGAAGGCTGAAACATCGGTTGTGTTGTCCCCCATCTGCACCACTCACTTGCATCCAGGGCTTGACTCTGACGTGCTGCACCTTCAGGGTGAGTTTGTGCTGCCATCCCCCTGACAACTCCATCTGCCTGAGCGCATCCTGCAGAGCTCATCCCTCCGAGCGCCTCGGGACAGCCCACCCCTGCCCTCCGGGGGGCTGCAGGGGTCCCCCCAGCCCATCATCCTGCAGGGAGGCGGCGGGGGGCATCGCAGGTCAGGGTTTGCTGCTGTGCTGGTTAGCCAGAGCTGTGTCTAAATCCAGGGGGAATAAACTAAACACAACATCTGGGCCTGTCTTTGTCTTTCTTTAGCCAAATATTAGAAGAGGAGACAAGGGGGTATGCGGGTTGTCTCATGGAGGTATTTGTGTGTGTGCGCATTTGCCTGCCTGTCCATTGCCTTTGCTCCACATCCAGCTGCCTCATACTATGCACCGTAGGCACACCACAGGCAGTTTGGAGAGCAGGAGGAGGGTGTCCCAGCCCCTTTGCGCTGCTGGGGTGTGCAGCAGGCTGGGGAGCAAAGCAGGCGCCTAGTGAAGCAACAGCTTTGGTAGAGAAAGGTGCAGCAGCCTCAGGATGCAACGTTTCAGGACTCAATTGCAAACACGAACCCCCAAATCCCCAAGAAGAGGAAAGACGCCGGGGCGCCTGGGGCGTGCCGCTCACCACGCTGCCGTCACCCAGCCCTGCCTGCGGCGTGTGCCAGGCTGCAGCCGGGACACAGGAATGCAGTGAGTCAAAGGCACTTCTCCTGTTTGTTTGTTTTTCCAGCTCTCTGCTCTGGCAAAGTCTAGCTCCGAAGTGGATTTGTATTTCTGCTGCAACAGCAGAGGTGGTTGCCAAGTTTATTGGCGCGCTGTAGCCTCTCAGGAGCTAGTTACAGAGCTCTTTGGGACGTGCACCAAAACACAAGGTAGGCTTTTGGGTCTGTTTTCTGGGATGGGTTACCACCAAGGTGGCCTGGCCTCTCAGAAAATAATTTTATCTCTCAGATTTGATGCAGGGAGCTGGCATCTGCCAGAGCTGTCACGGACACATCCAGCCTGCCCCTATCCCTGGAAAAAGCAAGCAAACACCACCACCAAACATGTACACTCCTTGGTAAACACACCCCAGGGACAACCTGCTGCACTAACATTTTTTTCCTTCCTGCTCCATTGGCTCACGTTGGTTATTGCCTTTTGGTTGTTGCTGCTTCTCAAAATCACTGCAGCTCCCCAAGGAAACAGTGCCCCAAGTCACACCACTGAGGATGAAGCTGATGTGCATTTCAGAGTGAGCCTCACAGCTCCCAGGCTATCTCTAAGCTCCTCTAGCCATGGCATGGCCACCCAAAGGAGCTGCAACCTGCTTATGTCTTGGCCGTTTGTCATACCTGCCTGGGTTCTAGCACTGGCTGTGGGAGCGGTTTGGAGCTGGAAACGCTTGACCCATGTCTTAGATCCTTGTTAACGCTGCCGTGCCCCTCCTAATATATACATTATGCAGGGTGGGATTAGCAGGATTGATTTATGAGTCAATGAGAGAAAAAAAAAAAAGCTCACAAAGGAAATGTAATAGAATTAAAAACTATTTAAAACAACACCTGAAGTGGCTGTGAAAACATGCGTGTGTGTGTGTGTGCGCCCCATGCGTGTGCTTGGGTGCGGCCGTCGCTCTAAAGCGAAGCCCTGTGTGGTGTTAATGCTGGGGGATCTTTACTAACCAGGAGGTTTTTGTTTCGACATTCAAGTGGGACCGAGCCAAGTTTGGTCACCCCTTGCACAAGGCTGCTGCGGGGGAGGGGCTGGAGGAGCCTGGTCTGTGCCCCAGGTGTACCTTCAACAACGGGGAGTCGTTAATGATTCAGGAAAAAATACAGATGGAAGGGATGCCTTCGGAAAGGAGGGGGTGAATCACTGCACCTCATCATCAGGGATGCGGCGGCAGAGCCAGCAGCAGGGAGGGCACCAGGCGTGGGGAGCAGCCCTCAAGGTAGCCCAGTGAGGCACCCGACACATGGAAAACACCTTGTACATGCAAAGAGCCACACACAGGGGACAGCAGAACGTCTGAGGATGAGCTGCTTTGGGCTGTAAATGCCTTACTGCAAGTGGCTGCTGAAAGTTTCCCTCTGGACAAAAGCTGTCCAGTGGCTACAGACTCTATTAGAAGCTGAGCACGTCCATAGACATTAGCCTGAGACTTTTCGAGGTGTTAATTTTAATCGACTGAACCTCCCCAGTATTGCTGCGGAGGCCTGGGGCCACGTGGACGGGTCAGTCTCCAGCAGCTCCACTGGACGATGAGGGATACCCATCGATTCCAAGCTGGGGCACGATAAGTTTATAAAATGTGGTGTATTTGGATGTTTTGTACGCCCCCTTTATTTCCCAGGAGACAGCCCCAAATACAGCAGCTGGGGTGACCCTTGGAGACCCAGTGACAAGCCCTGCAAGCAGCCAGCCCGGCTGAACACCCTC